TTTTTCCAGTTCACCCCCTGTTCTTAAAACGTTGAGCAATTAAGAGCATGTTCCCTATGGGGCTCACCCCTGGGACCCTTCTGGCTACAGGGCACTGGAAGTTATATATTAATTTTGAGACAGGGTCTTGCTAAGTAGTCCTGGCTTTCTGGGAATTCACAGAGTTCTGCCTTCCTCTGCTTTCCAAGTGCTGAGATTATAGGTGTGGGCTACCATGCCCAGTAGCCTAAAGAACTCAAATTTGAACTGTGTGTAATACACATGTACACCTGATGATTGGCCAGTAGCTTCCTGGGTGGAGCTACTTTTCTGGAACCATCTACTCTGCTAGGCTAGTAGGTTTCTTGAGGGTTAATTTGTGCGTTTGTTTTGGCTTTGTATCGGGCTAGTAGAGCTGCTACAGTAAAGGATTGTGCCTACTTTTATAGTTCCTAGAGGCTGATGTTATGTCACAATAAAAGTAACTCAAGTCACAATCTGAAGGGATGCCACAATAAAAGTCCTTTGAGTCTCCGCGAGGGAGTCTGTGAGGATTCTTTTTGTTTAAAGGAGGAAAAAACAGTCCTTGCATGTGCAGAGATGGGTAACTGCTTGCTCATCAGCTCCCCACTGTCTCCAGTGATGGGACACCTCATGCCCAAAGTAGGGGATGCACACTGAAGGTCATGCAAGGGTCAACTGCTTTGTCTACTTACTGAGTGCTACATCAGTTTTTTTAGTGAGTTCCATTGTGTGCCAGGAACTGCTCCAAGTGCTGGCTATGGGCAGCCAAGGAGCCACAGCCACTTCCTTTGGGGCCCTTAGGCTCTGATCACATCAAAGCTAAGAAGGAGTTTCCAGGATGTTTGACCAACCACAGTGTGTGTGTGTGTGTGGGGGGGATGTTGTGGAGCAGTTTTCTCCAAATTAAAACATCCCATTCTGGAGGGAAGGGATTAAGACTAGGAAGTGAACAACTAACAAGTCTCAGAAGTTCCTGAGATTTACAAAGCCCTTTCCTCCCCCAAGGACTTGTAAACAGGAGAACAGCCCTTGATCTGACTTGTTGAGGTGCCAGAGCTCCAGGATTTCAACTTTTGTCAGCCATCACCCGTGCTGGGGTTTTTGGTGATGCAGCTGCCTTCATGGTGTCTCTGATCCCATACGTAGCCACTCATTCATACGCCTGTGAGTAGTCCCAGTGAACTGACTCGTTTACCAAGTTGCACTTTAGTGGAATCTTCCTTTGGTTTGCTGTCAGTTCCCAATCTGGAGTGAGTGTATGTTCATGTTGCATCTCCCCACGGAAATGTCACACAATGGTAGTAGACCTGACCTGTGGGTCTTAGAGGAGCTAAGATGGGTCCAGACTCTGACACCGGAAAAGCCTTGTGGGCTGAGAGAACCATTCCAGGGCAAGGCACGGAAAGGAAGCTCTCTTGGACCCAAGAGCAGATGTAAGCAGGAGAAAACTAGACAGGTCTTGGTTAGGTGGAAGGTCAACATGGGCGCATTCTGTTCCATCTGGTGGGGGTGGGCTAGGGAACAATCTCACAGGCTCCAGCAGGCTTGCTGAGATGACCAGTTACAAGAGTATATGGGGCCGCCTTACAGGGCCTGCACCTGTGAGCACCACATCTCAGTGCCCTGCCTAACATCCTGCCAGCTTGGCTATGCGAACATGCGGAGACCAAGGGGCTAGCTTGGTAGGACGTGGATCAGGTAGGTACCCAGAGAGTGCATCAGAGAAGGGTCCCTGTGGTTAGCTGAGCCTGACAATATCTGTTTTCTTGGCTCCAGGATATCAGTGGTGAAGGCAGATGAGCTGTGTTAGGGAATGAGGGAGGAAGCCTAAGCCTGGGAAGGGAGGTTCCTCCCACTTTCCCCTGTCCAGCAGGTGTGGGAAGGTGGGAAGAGCAGGCCTTCACAGCCAGGGCTCGTCTCAAAATTCTCCTGCCAACATGATGCTATACTGGCTTCTCAGTTTTCCCAGGTGTGACAGAGATGCTGCAGTGTGTCTCTAGGTGGGTAAAGGCAAAATGTCCTTGTCGCTTGAAACAGGGCCTGGCCTGATGGGAAACTCAAGGTCAAGTCCTGTTTGGCCCAGTCCCAGGGTCTTGTGACTCACGCCACAGAGGACTTCTGCTGTGTGTGTATGTGTGTGTGTGCATGTGTGTGTGCGCGCGCGCGCGTGTGTGTGTGTGTGTGTGTGTGTGTGTGTGTCAGGAAGTAGGGGGAGGTTGTTGCAGAGCTGCTCTCTCGGTTTCCTAAAATTCACGAAGACAATCCAAACGGGCTGTTTATGCAGAGCTTGCTCAAGCGAGGAGGTTGGCCACCGTTACTTCTGCTTGCTAGAGATTCATATGCAGGTCAGGGAGCAAGGCAGCTGTGTATTGAAATAGTTCAGTATCCAAAAACAACCGGAGCAGTGCCAGACAAAACTCTTGTGACCATCTCCATAGAGACGGGAAATGCAGCCCTCTACTCTCCCGGCCCACACGCTCTCCATTCCCCAGCAATAGAAGGGGATCTGTCCTCTAGACCCGAGGAAGCACTCAAGATTTATAAAAGTCCCGAGCTTATGTCCTCCCAAGGAAGACTGGAGGCTCCTCACCCGGAAAGGTCAGAGACAAGACAAGATGAAACGAACAAGACAGTCTCGGCATTTCTCCCCAGGGTTCTAGGCAGGATGATTCGGCAATATGGAAACCATACCGTAGAAAAGGACGTAGGAGCATGGAAAAGGACAGTGTGCTGGCACGTGTTTAAAGGCTCCCGTGAGACATACCTACAGGCAGGTCTGTGAGGGAGTTTCTAGACGGGGTTGGCTACAGAGCAAAGGCCCACCTGAAAGGGGAGCAGTTGCCATCCCGGGGACTGGGATCCTAGAGGGCAAGAAAAGCAGAAAGTGTGCTGAGCACAGCGTTCATCACTCTGCGTCCTGATTGTTGGTATAATGTGACCAGTTGCCTTAAATCCCACCACCCATGCCTTCCCTGCCATTGTGGAATGTACCCTTGAACTGTGAGCCTGAGTAAATCTTTCCTCCCGGAAGTCGCTTTTCAAAGGAAGTTAGGACAAAAACTCAAAACAGGATAGAAACCTGAAGGCAACAGCTGATGCAGAGACCATGGTCAGGTGCTGCTTACTGGCTTGCTCCTCATGACTTTCTCAGCCTGCTTTCTTATAGAATCCAGGACAAGCAGCCCAGGGATGGCCCCAGCCCTTCCATATCACTAATTAAGAAAATGCTTTACAGTCTTGCCTGACTGCCTGATCTTATGAAGGCATTTTCTTAGTTGAGGTTCCCCTCTCTCATAAGACTTTAGCTTATGTCAACTTGACATAAAACTATCCAGTATAGCTGGGCAGTGGTGGCGCATGCCTGTAATCCCAGCACTCAGGAGGCAGAGGCAGGTGGGTCTCTGTGAGTTCGAGGCCAACCTGGTCTACAAGAGCTAGTTCCAGGACAGGCTTGATAGATACAGCGAAAACTTGTCTCGAAAAACCAAAACCAAAACCAAAAAACAAAAAAAAAAAAAAACAGAAATCAAGACATACAACCCAGAAGCACTTGCTCAGGAATGGCACCATCCATTACCTGAGCCCTCCCATATCCATAATTAATAAAGAAAATGCCACCACAGACTTGCTTGCAGGCCAGTTTGATGAGGGCATTTTCTCAGCTGAGGTTCCCTCTTCCCATGTGACTCTAGCTTGTATCAGGTTGCCAAAAACAACAAAACTAAACCAAACTCAAACAAAAAATTAACCAACACAGTAGCAATGGCAAGCAATGGAATAAATAGAATAGAAATTGTAGAAATAAGAGTTTTGGTTTTAAACAAGAGGACAATACAACTCAATGAGGAAAGGAATCTTCTTAGCATATGGCTCTAGGATAGCCATCCCTGTACAGAGAAAAACCAAGACAAATCTATCGAATATCATACCTGCCAGAATGATCAAAATGAGACCTACGACCCAGAGAAATGGCTCAGCGGTTAGGGGCACTGGCTGCTCTCTTCAAAGGGACCCGGGTTCAGTTCCCAGCCCCCACATGGCAGCTCACAACTGCCTGGATCTAATTCCAGTGGATGTGAGGCCCTCATCTGGCTTCCACTGGTATTGGACATGCATATAATGTGCTGACATGCATGGAGGAAAACACCTATACACATAAAATAATTAAGCAGGCGGCGGTGGTGCCTCTTTTTCCTGCCATCTGCCGCCTTGCCTTCCCTGCCGTGAGCCTCAAACCAGGAGCCAAAAACAAACCCGTCCTTAAGCTGGTTTTGACAGGTATTTTGTCCCAGCAATGAGAAAAGTAGCTAACACCAACATTTGTACTAAAACAAGAGGTGCAAGCATCGTGTTAGCAAGAGATTGCTCTGATTTGTTGAGGAAAAGGGACTTGAAAGCCGTATTTCTAGATCTGTCATGCTACCAGAACTCAGCCTAGCACCAGCCCAAGGAATGCCTTGGCAGGAATGAGCATTCTTGCCCCTCTCTTTGGCTATCAGACTACTGAGATAATGGACCTAAGAAATTAGAATTTCCCCCAGAAGTATGCTGAGAGAAGAACAAGTTGAAGTGGTAGAACAAGCAGAAGAGGGTTTTGTCTCCTGCAGAAAGATTTGCAGTTTGTCAAAGAACCTTGTAGGAAAGATTTGGGAGCTGAGGTAATGGTGGGCCAAGGGCTCACACTTTGATCAGGTCTGCTTAGTTATGCGTATCAGAGCCCTCTAAACCTTAACCCCATGTCAGGACTCTGAGGATGGACTTGGGGCAGGGCATCTCTGGATCCCTCTATCCCTTTTCCCATTGTAACCGTATTGGATAAATCTCCCCCTTCCTGCTTATTGTCTCCTTTAATAAAGATTTTATTTTATCTATGTGTAAATGTGTCTGTCTTTCTGAGTGTATGATCTGTGTGTGTGTGTGTGCGGGGGGGGGGGGGTCAGTGGAGGGTAGATGAGTCATGAGTCTCTGGGGTGACAGTTACATGTTGTTGAGAGATGTCTGACATGTGTGTTCAGAATCAAACTTAGATTCTCTGCAAGAGCAGCAGTTCTTTTAACCACTAAGCCATATCTCTAGCTCCTTAACTTAGCTCCTTTTAACTGACTTATGAAGAATGGATAACCAAATCTGGCTCGTTGGGACTTAGGCAGTGACTCTAAATTCAATAAGACTCTCTAGGCATGCAAGCACCCAGATACCCAAAGGGTTTCACTTCTCTACCCAAATGATAGATAGAGACCACAGTACAGACTGAACTTCCAGGAATCGTGGTCACCATGCTCTCTGTGATTCTGCATATGTGGGATTAGAATGGGAGAAGATGATATATGTTAAAGGAAAAGATTCATTTTTAAAAGAAACCTGTGCCAACTGGTGGTGTTGTAACACATAACTATCTATGCACCGTCATGGGAGAAAAGTCTCTACTATCATAAAACCTCTGAAACCTCCCAAAGGAAATCTGAATCCATACGAAAATGGATCCATGTACTAATGTGGCATTTGTTATCAAAGCCAAAAAATGGAGCCAGGGCTGGTGAGGTGGCTCAGCGTTAAGAGGGCCTGTTGCTCAATCATGGGAGCCTGAGTCTGGATCCCAGTGTCCACAGCCAGTGGCTTACAATGGCCAGTAGCTCCAGCTGCAAGGGTTCTAATGCCCTCTTCTAGCCTCCATGGGCACTGCACGCTCATGATGCCCAGACATGAACAGAAAGCACCCATACCCTTTATAATAACTAATCTTGGCTGCTAATTGACTACATCTGGAATCAACTAAAACTCATGCGGTTGAGTGTTCCTGCAATTGGATCCTTTGAGGTTGGGAGACCCACCCTAAATCTGGGCCATACTTCCTGGTGGCAGCTCACATAAAAGTACATGAAAGAAGGAAGCTTGCTGCTTCGTCTTTTTTTTTTCTTTTCTGTTTTCCCGCATGTTTTGTCGCTTTTGTTGAGGCATTCCTTTGTTGGTGTTAGAACCTACTTTTTCAGGATTCCATCATGCAGCAAAGACCAGCATTTCTTCAGGAATCTTCGAGGACTCCAGCACCAGATTGGGCCTGCTGAGACATTCAGTCATGTGGACTGAGCAACTACCAGATTCTCGGCCTTTCCACTGGGAGACTGCTCCTGTTGGAATATCCTGAGCACAGCCTGTAAGTCATTCTAATAAACTGCCTTTGAATATATATTAATATATGCTCATTCTATCAGTTCTGTTTCCTTAGAAAACCTAATGTACATATAAAATAAACTAGTATGTGGTGGCACATGCCTTTAATAGTAGCCTCAGGGAGACAGAAGCAGGAGGATTCCCACAAGGTCCAGGCCAACCAGGACTATAATGACCCTGTCTCAAAACAAAAACAAAACAAAGCCCTTTAATATTTTGTTGATGAAAGAAGCCAGGTGTAAAAAACCATGTAGGCAACATTTCCTTTTTACGTGCTGTAGCAAGTCAGGTGTGGTGGTGTAAGCCTTTGATACCAGAGCACCCGAGAGAGGCAGAGTCAGGCAAATCTCTATGAGTTTGAGGCTGGCCTTGTCTACATAGAGTTTCAGGATCACCAGGGCTTCATAGGGAGACCTAATAGTGGTAGAATGATGGAGAGATAGAAGGGAGTCTTGCCATTGCCTGGCACGTGGATGGTGGTGCTGATGGTACCCAAGAGATCTCATCCCATCTTTGGGGTATAAAAGTGTCCTGCGATTAGGCAGTGGTTTGGACTGCATGCATCTGTGTATGAGTCCATAAGAACGTGGACTCCAGTCTGCCTATGGGAAGCTTTTGTGGTAGATGAGCTGTGGCTGCATACAATATAAACTATCTCTAAACACAGTTCAGGTAGGCCTCCACGGAAGGTCTGAGAAGGGAGGAATAGAAATGGGGGTGTATTGATTTGGGGAGCATATTTGGAGTTCTCTACTTGGTCCTGCCTGAGTTTAGGGACCCAGGCTTTCTGTACTGTGTCCTAATGCTTAGGGCTTATTACCCAGAGGTTAGGCTTTCCTTCCCGAGGATTCTGAATCCTAGAGTCTTGTATGGACTTTATCTGTTTGGGTGAATGTCCTCATTAGCTTTAACTGTCAATTTGACAAAGCCTAGAGCCACTTGAGAAAGGCATCTCGATTGAAGGATTGTTCAGTTCAGTTTGGCCTGTGGGGGATTGTCTTGATTCTTAATTGATGTAGGAGGACCCAGCCCACTGTGGGCAACACCATTCCCTAGGCAGGTGGTCCTGGGATATATAAGAAAGCTAGCCAAACACGAGTCTGCAAACAAACCAACAAGCAACATTACTCCATGGGTTCTGTTTTGAGTTCCTGCCCTGGTTTCCCTCTGGAAGTATATATAAGCCAAGAAAAGAGTTTCTTCCCCTAAGTTGGTTTTCAATCATAGCGTTTTATCATAGCAACAGAAAATGAACTAGAGAAGGAAGTCATTTCTCATTCTGGTCTTTGCATTTGGCAGAGCACTGGGGCAAAAGGGAACAGACAGAAAGTAAGAGGACCTATCACCAAGTTAGGGAACTTAGAGGAGCCAGAAGGGGATGAGAAAAGAGTGATCTCTACCCAGCAGTGGTGGCTGAGTGGTTAAGCAGAGACATAATTGAGGCCTATGCCTTACTCACACTTGGTCGGCATGTGTACAAAGACCCCAGACCCGACAGCATGGGAAGGGACTGAGAGGAAAGGCTAGAGTCTGCGTCTGGATCTGGGGACCCTAGAAGGTCAGGCGCTGGACTGTGCTTTCAAGTGTTCTCTCTGGTGGAAGGAGAACCAGCAGGGAGTCAGGGAAACCCACAGGGGCAGCAGTGCAGGACCAGGAAGAGCCACCAGTGACTGGCCTGTGGACAGAGATGGTCAAGATTTCATCAGCCAGGGAGACCTTCCTGTTTCAGGGACAACAAACAGCCCCAACAAAAGACCTGAGCCATCAAGCCTTCACAGTCAGGAGGAAAAGGGAGCTGAAGGCAGGGCCCTGTGTGACAGGCTGAGTGCAAAGGCCTTGTGAGCTTGCCTGTGGCCTGCCATTGTACACAGAACAGTTGGCAGTGAGGTGCTGGCCTTGTGCCGGGAGGCCTGGACTTGCTGGGCCAGGGAGAGCGTGTTGGCATGTTCTGGGAGCCCTGAGATGTGGGTTCTGATCAACTCTCAGGGAGTTTGTGGAGGTCACATGTGGGTCAGGATGAGTCTCCTTAGGATCTGCAGGGACCCAACCCCCCTTCAGTCCTGCTGTTGGAGGAAGAGGGCAGCAACAATTCTGGATTCCTTGGGGTGGGGGTGGATACTGCAGCTGTGGGAAGAAAAAAAGCCTGGTTGGCCTCTGGAGGGCTGTAACCCTACTGTGGCTGACTGGACATTGTAGCTACCCCTACTGTGGGACCCTTGCCACCTAGGATGATGCAGTTCTAAGATATCAGCCCGGCCAGGTGCACACAGGTCTCCAAGTGAGAGAGGGCTAGTCAGAGCTTTGCATTATTTCCACCTCAGGACACCTCCTGGCAGGCAGTGGAATCCGGAAATCTGCACTGAGCAAGTAAGAGGAGGCCTTGTCCCTAAGGAGGGGGTTAGATGGCCCACTGTCTGGGCGAAGGATGGAGCCTCAATCTACAGGACTAATCCTGCCCTTATGGACTCTATGTCACTCTGAGCTCAGACCCCAGTGGTGCTGCCTGTTAGTGTGAGGCTAGGGTCACCTTCACCATCTACCCAGGAGTCTGCTCAGCAGGGGAGCAGTAGCCTATTGAGATGTCCTGAGGAAAGAGGGGTTCTGGGGAGCGACCAGGGCTGGCTGGGATGCTCTTGGTGCCTCCATTCCTGTGGAATCTAAACCTAGGGAGGCCCAGCAACCGCTGCCTCCCACCTCTGTTCCATCACCATGGATTGTAGGGGTTGGAGGGCTGAAGGGAACAGCCTGGGTAAACCATCTCCTGTCTCTGCAGGGACCAGGCTCACACAGGCCCTGCCCCTTCTGATTAGAGTCAATCTGCCCTATTTACAGCCTTCGCTCCTCTTTCTCCAGACTCTTGCTGAGGGCATAAAGGGCGCATTGAAACTTCAGGCCCTTTGGTCTGTCACAGGGACTCTTCCTGATCTATGTCTCTTACTGTCTAGACTACCTGGGGTTGCCTGGACAAGCTGTACCCACTGTTGACAGCAATAGCTCACCAGCTTCCGTGTGACCAGGCCACACAGGGGAAGCCAGCTTCTCTGAAGAGGACCCTAAAGTTCCCACAGAGAGGCTGCAAGATGAGATCTGAAGAAGTAGGCAGCCCTTAGGAGAAGGGTGTGGGCATTCATGTATCCCCCTCCTCACCTAGACCCTGTTAGGTCAAGGGGTCACTGGGACTGCTGGAAAGGCCACTGTGGATGGAGCAGAATGTAGAGGGAAGGTGGGTGGATCTGCTCAACACAGAACCTGAAGTCTGAATTGAAGGCACGTCTTTCAAATCAAGGAAGTAGCTGGAAATACTCAGGGGAAAGCCAGGAAGGGTGGGTGCTGTGGGAGAAAGTTCCGGAATCTTTAACTATCTCTGCTTCCCATTTCTTTTTTTTTTTTTTTTCTTTTTGGTTTTTCGAGACAGGGTTTCTCTGTGGTTTTGGAGCCTGTCCTGGAACTAGCTCTTGTAGACCAGTCTGGTCTCAAACTCACAGAGATCCGCCTGCCTCTGCCTCCCGAGTGCTGGGATTAAAGGTGTGCGCCACCATCGCCCGGCTCTGCTTCCCATTTCCTCAAGCATAAGTAAATGACCAAACCAGCTTGGGTTAAGCTGTGGGAGAAGGAAGTGGGAAGGTGCTTTTGAGGGAGGGAGTGGCTGGGAGGATGGAGCTAGACCTCAGTACCGACCAGTGTGCAGTTAGGGTTTGACTTGGTTTGGGACCTAACATTAATGAAAATGAATAGCTATCAGTACTACCTGCTATTAATTCTGTACAGTGGAACCGGACTCTGGTTTCCAGATCAATACTAAGTAATTAAGAGAGAAAAAAATATTAAATAAGACTTAGACATCCAAAAGTTGTGGCAGACAAGAGAATCGGAAGGTTTGACAGAGGACGTCGACAGGACTGGGGAAGCTTGTAGGGGAGACTGGTCTGGAAGCAGCTGTTTGGAGCCCGGATGGGCAATAGAGAGGCTGATTGGTTCAAGGACCTCATGGCACTGCAGGGAGAGGAAAGAAGGAGAAAGAAGGAGACACAGAGTTAGAGGCCACTGGAGAGAGGCCCAATGGAAGGAGCTGAACTCCAGCTATGGTGTAGGATGGGGCTCCAGCAAGGAGTCCACCTTCTGACCCCTTCTAGCATGCCAGGGGGTCTGAGAATGATTGCTGTCCCGAATTTAAGACCCACTGTCCACTAGGCCAATCGCAGTAAGGCCAGCTGTTCCTGCAGACCAGTATCTGCAGGAGATGCATGCACTTCTGAGCCTCTAAATGTTGTCACCACTTGGGGACACTGGGTATAGACACAGCATCTGGTAGGGTGGACTAGTCTCTATCTCCGTCTCTAATTCAGTGCCCAGATTACACATGGACTGAGACAGGAAGGGCCATGGTGTGGATGGAGCCCTGGGCCTGTAAGTCTCTGTGGCATCTGTCTTTCTCGCCAGATCGAGGCCCCTGCTTCCTCTTTCTCCATCTAGGAAGCCCAGGGTCCATGTTTTCCTGTCCTATAAGGAGGCTCCTGCCCATAATAGTGTCCAGGTTCTGATCCTAGGCTTTGTGTCCTTAGCCTGGCAGTCCCACAGCATTTGCCTAGGACAGGCTCCTTGCACCCCATAAAAGTCCAGGAGCCAGGGACAGCTCCCTGTTCTACTGCCACTGTAGGAAAGAGGAGTGGAGGAGACTTTCAAGACAGCTTTGATGGCCCGAGGACACCTATGGAGCTGATGCAGCCCTTTAAAGACACTTGGAACTGAGAGAAAGGTATTGTCCCTTTGTCCCTCTATCAGTCATTAAGAAGGACCCCCAGAAGGACAAGAATTCAGGTGAGGCAGCCCTGTGAGCTGGAGCATCTCTAGTGAAGAGGGTCAAGACTGCACAGAGGCCTGCTCCATTTTACTATATCTCCACCCCAAGACAGCGACTGACGAGAGGGACTTATTAGGGACATTGGCATATATGGTTGTAGACACGGAGAAGTCCCATGGTAA